GAAGCAACTCTGGCACACCAAAAACTCGACGATGCTTTAAAGTTAGAGAAATGTGAAGTTCCAAGCAGATTTTCGATACAATCAATCAAAACGTGATACCTCGTGGGTATAACCTCGGTTGGTTGTTGGAACTTTATCTTTGTTAGTTGAAGGCTCAGAAAACGTAAGCAACTTTCTTGCTGCGAGGTTGGAAAAATGTGAAACGAAGAAAGGAGAGTAATTTTTCCCCCTGTGGAGGAATAAACGGCAGGTGTTCTCTGCATAGTTTCGCGTACTCCATTGGGGGTTTGGAATCAAATGCAAACAGATCGGCTGTTGGGGAAAGGCTGGCCAGGAAACATTTCGAATATCAGCCGGTGAAACTTCGTTTCATCAATAATAGGGGAGAGGAGAACGCGCAACCTGCGAGCCTTTCGTTCGGAAAGTTTCGTGCGCGGAAAACTTCTTTTATGGAAGTTCGATCGAAGTTTCTGTTTGCCTTTGGCTAGATTATTAGCCGGCTATTTATACACAACGTAGTTTATTGTTTACGCGCTTTTTAAACTCTCGCCGGGTCGGGCGAAATGTATTTTTACGGGCGGAAGTTGGAGCGGCGCTGTGCTTTCACGAGAATCAGCTTGATCATTTCGCGATTGAACGAACTTTCATCGAGAGGGAAATGCTTTGCTTTCAATGAAATACGTTTCCATGCGTATTATTCGCGAGGTAAAACTTATCGAATTGATAAAAAGGCAAAAACTGGCGAAAACGAATGTAAACGACGTCCAGTCGAGTTTCATTCTGCCGAGTAAACGGCTGTTTCATGACTGTGTTATTTTATTTTTTTTCTTTTTTCGTATTCTCTACGTGTATATCGCATCGTTTTCTCGTATCTATAACCATTCACCGAGCCGGTGCACTTTGGAAAACACGACAAAATCGGATAATTCGTATTTATTTACAACCAATTTTTCGACTGCGTTCAGAGTTTCGAATAATTGGGATCCCAATTAAACAGGTTAAATCAGAGTATCCCGTATTAAAAGCTATATTCATAACGTTCATGAAATATGTACCACACCTGAATCTGTTTTCCATATTTAAGATTTCCTTCGATCATTCCCATTATTACATTACATTTCCTTCTAATATAGGCCACTAAATCTCATCTTTTAGGATACCGAATAAGATAGAAAATTCTATTATTAAACCTATTATTTCTCTTCATTACATTCTTATAAAATAAGTTAGAACCTCGTAATATCATATTTTATCTTCACTGATAAATTCAAGATTTCCTTCAATTATTCTTGATGGGTACACGTTCTCCTAATAATGGATTCCACCTTTTAAGAAAATGAATAATACCAAATCTCTATTTGTCCTGTATATTTCAATCATTTTCATATATCCTCGTAATACAAGTTACAATTCCCCAATACCGGATTTCACGTTGCAGTTTCAGAATACTGAATAAGAGAATTGTGATCATATTTGGCAAGGTGATCGCGTTCACTGCCAGTCGATATTTATGCCACGCTTTACCCCTCCACCCCTTTGAAAGCACGTCGACCAATCGAACGATTAGACGTCCGTAGCTTTGGCTCTGTCAGGAACGTGCCGTTGATATCGGTAACGACCACTTTGAGACTAGCAGTTAGGCCCCTGTCCCTCTGTGCCGCCTAATTATTACGCGGGCCCTCAAGTTCATTTGATAGCGGCTAGACAAAGCGATGGAATCGTTCAAAGCGTGGCAGGACTATCAAAAGGACGCTATTTATCGAACCGTGGTTGCTCGTCGGCCAGACACACGCGTCTCTTTCCATCCGATTCTCGTGCAACCGAATCCCCTTGTTCCCACCCTTTTATTCCCTATTCACGGCTGCTGTGGCACGTTCGAAATTTCCCTCAAGGTGAAGCCCAAGTTTCCGCGACACGCTGTCAGAAACTTGTGACCGGAAGTTTCGCAGAGTCATCGCGCGGTGTGTGTGGTGACCCGGTTCTGTCTCAGTTTACGGTTCCTCGCGAACCGTAAACTCGCGCGGAGTTCTCATGAATGGACACCTCGTGACCTCGAAGAAATCCCTCTTAATTCCTACAAATCCTTCACGCCCTTCACGTGCTTTGTAATCACGCAGTTTCGTTTCGTATCGCGAGATTATTCAGCCTCGCTGGCTTTCGCGAATCTATGATTAGTCCTATGATTAGAATCGGCATGATTCCGGTTTCAACGTGGCTGGTTCACTAGTGAAACGAAGTTTCCACAGGGTGCAACGTCAGTTGCAAATAAACCAGGGAGCCGATGACTGCTATCAAAAGCAAGGCCAGACAAGAAAGCAGAAGTTGCAGTCGAGGTTTCGGTTTATGTATGAACGTGGTATTATGCCAGAGGAGCTGGCAACCGCGTAACAAGAGTCAAAACCGTGGTGGGCAGGTGGTCTCGATTGTGCAAATGTTCGAAAATCATTAGAGAACTTACGTTGAATTAGGGTTATCGGGAGGTCGCGAGTGTCGACATGTCAGGACGAATTAGCCATATTTAACCGATAGATTCGCGAAACGATCTTCCGGTTAATTTGATCAGATACAGATCTGCACGTCGCCTACGTACGATTTTTACGTGTCTTTGTTCGACTTGTTCGACTTGTCAGAAGGATCGAGGAAAGAGGAATAGTTTTAGTTGAATATTGAACTGCCAGATAAAACGAAATTACTCGGCGACTTCGAGCGTCGCCGGACGCTGGGAATCGCTCTTCGGTTTTCTGGGTCGGTGCTGGTGTTGGCTGATTTATAACTTCCGGTTGATATCTCATCGCGGAAAGTGGAATTGTACGACAGAAATTGTGGACAGGCACCGAGAGATGATTGAATGAACGTTGCCGAACAAGGAAAAGTGATTGGATGACTTTCGGTCATCGAGAGTAATATCAATCCTCTTTCAAACTTCTTTCGTTTCTCTGGTATCTTTAGAACGATTAGTAATTAATTATAATTGCCAGAAACAGAGAGATGATCGAATAACTTTTGAACTCAAAGGGACGACTGATACTTAGAAAAATATTAATTTTCTTGAATTCTTTTCATTTCTCTGATACTTAGAATTACGAATAATTAATAAATATAATAAAGATAATAATAAAGATAAGATAACGTGTTTAACTTGCTAACGAGGTGGAGATTAGGTTAACACTCAGCTGTGTTCTGCGTTTCTGTTCTTTACAAGGTGTTCCAACAGAATAACATAGTGATATCAGTGACTCTATTCGAAATTCTTATCAACTACTGGTTGACCTCGTCCACAGAGATACCTCTGCTAATATCTTGTACTCCTAATATTGTCGAACCAAAGATACCTGGACCTTACTGTTAAAACTAGTAACGATTCCTTCAATTGCTCTCCTTGTTTAATACCTCCATTATCGTTCTATGTTCCTATTAACATTATACAGAGTACTAAGACGTTATAACGAATGTTAGC